ACAGAGGACAGAACTGGTTGTCATTAATGGAAATCTTAATGCCCAGCGTTACATTGGCCTCGTGGTACGCCCCCTCGTGTTACCGTTATTTCAGCGAAACTCCGGGCTCTTGTATCAGCACCACAATGGAAGACCTCACACTGCTCGTGCTTTACAACAGTTTCTGGCCACAAACAACCTCAATGGTCTGCCATGCCCCACATTGCAACAGCGAGTGAGTTGGTTTAACGCCGCTTTTAACAGTATTACAGTTATATCACGGCTTGATATCAGCTGAATGTGAGAGGAAAGCTCGAAGTGATGCAGGTCTCAGACGTTTACCACTTCAGTGACACCCACGAGCACGGGTATGGTGCTGACAAACCTAGATACATAATCGGGACGAACCGGGATCGCATTGCAACAGATATGTCACCCACTGATTATCTCTGGGATCATCTTGACCAGGACATCATACACCGTCCCAAGCCTCGATGAAGCACTGACCTTCATTTAGTGACAGTAATGATCATGTTAAGTCACCTGTCGTCCTGAGTGTAACTGTGACATCGCCCAGTTTACCCCTAGTGCTGTGTGGGATGTCTGATGTTGACACTTGTTGGTCAATAGGGAGTTGATCATTGTTTATATCTCGCCAAATGATTATTCTTTCGTATTACAACATTTGCTTTGTTTGTTTGTTTGTTTGTTTGTTGTTGAACGCCGCGTTCAGCAATATTCCAGCTATATGCCGGCGGTTTGTAAATTATCGAGTCTGGACCAGACAATCCAGTGATTGATATCATGAGCATAGATCTACGCAATTGGAATACAATGACATGCATCAGCCAAGTCAGCCAGCCTGACCACCCGATCCCGTTAGTCTCTTACGACAAGCATGGTCGCCTCTTACAGCATACAACGTTTGCATCATGGTGCGATTTGTGTTTCCCAGCATCATCAGCTTACTTTCTTTTAACATAATGTTGTTTATCGTTGTAATTGGTCTCGCTTGAAAACAACAATATTGTCTTTATCCTTCTTTCTTAACTGGAGCCCCAATACCCGCGTTCATAGTCTAGAACTTGTATGAGGATACGTTGGACACAATAAAGGTTCAGTGTGGTGGTATTGAAAGGCCCCCATTGACGATTGGACCAGGCAGACAGTGACGATTGGAACGATGCTGTAAACTATTTGTGCAGAGACAATAAATCTGCCCCCACTGTGTTGCAAAACGTACATATCTCCTAAGTTTTACTCGCAGAAAAAGTAATTCAAACTTGACATACCGTCTACAAACAGTTACTTTGTAATGCAAATTGTTTGAGTGGCGGGTGCTACCTGAAGAGCGGGACATGCTTACCCATGTCGCGAACGCCTCGTGTAATCACTGATTTTCCGTGATCCATTCACATTATTTGCATCACTATTTCGCCCTTATGCCGAATGGAATCTCAGATAATCGAGACTGATTATTCTCTGACTCTGACTTTGACGTGTTGAATTTAAACTATCAACACCTGGTTTGTCTATTCCAGATTATTAGTTTTTACAGATTTCCTGCTGTAACGTAATGGAACCTGTTTGTTTGCTATTTGGTTGCATGTTTCAGATAATGCATATGTTATGTTGATGGTGTATCTCTGTTAGGTGTTCTACGTTCTTGTCGATAATGGCTGATATATTACTAGAGAACCACAACTCCCTCACTGTGCAGTATTGTGGTGCTTTCTGTGTATCATAGTTAAGTGTAGTAGGTTTCTGGCAAACCGCAGACACAACATAATTTGGACTTCAATAGGAACACGTGTTCCACCATGGTGATGATGAGTGAGTGAGTTGGGTTTAACGTTGCTTTTAACAGTATTACAGTTATATCACGGCGTGTCAGATTGATGTGGGAGGAAAGCCCGAAATGATGCAGGTCTCAGACGTTTACCACTTCGGTGAAAGCCACGAGCACGGGTATGTTGCTGACAAACCGAGAAACATAATCGGGGCGAACCGGGATTCGAACCCACAATCATAGGTTTCTGGCGTGCCCGAGGGACGCAACTCTGCACAGCGAATCGCGGCGCCTTAGACGACTGGGCCACCCGTGCCCCCCTGATGAATGAGGTAAATGTGTCGTACTCGAGATTCGAATGTGGGTCAGGTAAGTTGCATCCCTAAATCTTTACGTCTGTAAGTGACGATACAACATCGTGGCAATATTTAAAATTCTGGCCACAACAACCCTCCTCTAGAATGCATTGTAAGGGACCGACCATTCTGGAAGGGTGGGTGGGGAGAGGGGGCTGGTATTTTATCGAAAAAGAAATTGTCCCTGCAATTTGTTGAGAAACAAGATGCTTCAGGCCTTTAAAAAATGCCTGCCACAAGTATTACTATTGCTAGGTGCTTTTCTTTTTAAAAATCAGCCTCATAGCCTTAAATACAAAATATATCTGGTTCTGCAGCTCTAGCTGAAAAAAAATCTAATGTCGATACAAAATCCCAGCCCCGTGAATACGAATATATAATGGAGAAATAATACATTGAATAATCAAGGGTCGGCATCACACGAAAGGTTGCCGTCTTCTGAATCTTCTTCCACTACACACTATCGCCATCAGAATCAACCAACAGAGAAAATACATATCAGATACAAAACAGATATTTGCATCGCCTTACCATAATAGTTCAGCATTGAACTCAAATTAACTTGTTTAACCAGAGTTAAGAACATCTGAAATGTGTTTTCAGTTTTGAAATCACCAATGAACGTAGAATTACAATTACAATCATCTCGTCGTATTTATATACGAGATTTTGTTTTCAGAGCTTTAACGTTTTTTAAAGTTTTGGACGAATCACTCATTATCCATTTTTCTGACACTGATTACATAAAACAAGTTACAGATACACCGCGACGCTTATATTGGAAGACAATTTCCACAGCAGCCACGTAGACTGATAGTGCGCGTTGCTCTTTTTATGACAACCCTTTAAATGCATTAACATTCTACAAAATTTGATTTGCCAGGTTGAATGAGGCAAACCCTTGGGGGACTGTCTTGATAGTGTTGGAATTGGCAAGAAATGAGGTATCAATGATTACTCTGAAATTGAGGTCAATTACTATCGTGCTGGGGGTCCCTGCAGGACCGTTAGTGATTTTACGTGCGTTTCATTCTAATGCGATATTTCTCTGAAAAAATGTTGCCTGCGCTGTAGGTTTTGAACCACATATTCTAACCATTAAATAATTATGTTAATGTAAAGTAGTTGGTTAGACATGCATTTACATTAAGTAAGTAAATGTTCATCGTCAGCCTTCTGAGGTATGTAATTATCGTACTGAATCACTGAGCGAGGCTTAATGTTGTAAGTAGTGACCCGGTTTCTTAGATTTCACTTCCATTAATGGAGACAAACTTGAATTGCGAAAATAATTCTTTAATGATGAAAGCTTTTAACGATCGTTCGTTTATGATCGTAGGATCGTACGATGTTTTCATTTACGAATATTTCAGAAATCTAAAACTAAGTGTCCCCATATATATATATATATATATATATATATATATATATATATATATATATATATATATATATATATACTGGTCTTGTTTTGTTCCAAGCATTTAGTTAAAATGTCTATGACAATGATACGTTAAGTTAAATATACATTTTACAGACGCTTCTTCAAATTTTGCCCTATATGCTCATTGGTACCTCCTACAAACACAAATGTTTTTCAGCAGGCGACGTTCAGTGCAAAAAAATAGAAGCCGGGCCTCTAATTGACGCAGGGTCAAAGGCTTGTCCGAAATAAATAGAAGTCCATTTCGTGACGATTCGGGACATTCGTGGTCATAGTGAAATGGGGGTATTAATAGAAGACGGGCCTCCAATAGACGCCGGGCCTCTAATTTACGCCGGGTCAAAGGCTTGTCCGAAATAAATAGACGACAAGCATAGTCGCATGGGTTGCTGAAGACCTATTCTACACCGGATCTTCACGGGTCCTACCCCACGTAATGACCCTTGGTGTGTCGGCAACTACCCTAGCGGCACAGTCATCTAAGGCAGAATCCATTGTACTTAGTCGCGTCCCTTGGACGTCTGATCAAGACTTCAGATTCCTGCGGATTGAATGACAAACATGCCAGGACTGTCACTTGACCACAGTCTTCTGACCTTCACAATTGTCAAATACAGAACTCCGGCCTGTTGGAGAATGCAGTAAGGCAACACTTCAGCAATGTTCTGGCCATATCACAGCAGTCAGTATCAATCAAGTCTAGAACAGACAAACCAGTGACTGATATTATGAGCAATGACCTTGACCACCGATCCCTTCAAGTTCAGTCTACTATCAAGGTACCCCTGAAGATTCAGTGTAGAATAGGTCTTCAGCAACCCATGCTTTGCCGTAAAAGGCGACTATGCTTGTCGTAAGAGGCGACTAACGGGATCGGGTGGTCAGATTCGCTGACTTGGTTGATGCATGTCATAGATCCCAATTGCGTGGATCGATGCTCATGATGTCGATCACTGGATTGTCTGGTCCAGACTCGATTATCTACAGACCAACGTCATATAGCTGGAATATTGCTGACTGCGGCGTTAAACAACAAACCAACCAACCAACCTACCTAATTGGTAGATCGATGCCCATGATGTAAATCATCGAAAAGTCTGGTCCCAGATTCGATCATTTACAGACCGCTGTGATTTTGCTTGAGTGAGTGAGTGAGTATGGTTTTACGCCGCTTTTAGCAATATTCCAGGATTATCACGGCGGGGGACACCAGGAAAGGGCTTCACACATTGTACCAATGTCGGGAATCGAGCCCGGGTCTTTTGCGTGAAGAGCTATCCGACCGTCCCTTCATTTTGCTGGAATATTGCTGATTGCAGCATAACAAAATACAAACTTATGTCAAGTATAGATTATTTGCACCAATTCTATCCCAGAATCCCAAAGGGGGAGACAACCCTAGGACTCGCGGTAATGACAACACAACATGGCATGATAAGAATGATGTTTATTGGCCAGTGTAGCTACAGCTGCACCCATGCAGGGGTGCTGGATGTGTACATCTTGCATCACACTGACCACACATGTAGCACAAGGTCAAGGACAACACAACGGGTGGTTATAGTCAGCCAATCACAGAGCGGAAAGGGGAGGTAACTCTGTCAAGACACTAAGCCTTAATCTAGATTCTGAAGAGCCAGGACACATGACAACTGATGCTTAATGAGAGAATGAGAACGTTTACAGAACAATAACCTGAAATGATAAAATATCTGAGCACTGACATCTCTGTAGGTTTGAAATATAAATAATTAAAGTTATAATATATTATGGTGTTTTAGTATTATGCAATATGTAACAATGCTGATTTATCTCTCAAAGAGAGTGAGTAAATAAAGTTGGCCTAAAGTCACTTTGAACATTATTTGTCTCTCAACAGAGCATTGATCTGAAGATTATGAACATATTCATGAACATATTGAGACCTGGAGATGGTTTGATCTCATGACATAGGAAGACTGCATTATTCCTGTAAACAGTAGTTGGATGACATACAAACACCTGTTGACGTATAGGTATACAAAGATGTCAAACATTTACCTCAATAGCAACTTTGAAAGAAATTTGTTATGAAAAGGACATACAAAAGACTAATGGCATTACTAAACATGCATGTTGATGCAATGTTGATAGGAAGATGCCTAATTTTCCTTCACTTTGTCATAAATTATTGAAATATAAAAAACTCAGTGTACACACTTATCAATACACTTATGTTATATTCATTGTTTCCATTAGATAACTCTATCATGAAAAAGGATTACTATGTTTACATCCTCTTTTAACAGTTTATGGTACTTGGAAAAAAGTTGTCCTTTTGCGATTGAGGCCTATAGGGTAAGAAAACAATAATATTGGTATTTGGGTCACATTATGGTGCGAACTTGCAATAAAAATAAGAGAAGAAAGACTGTAACTTATTTCTATTAAATCAACATTTCATACTGTTACATTACGATTTCAGGCATATTTGCTACAGCTTGCCTACCAACTACTTTCAGCTGCCACAGAACGAGATGACTGTGGCTTTGACAATGAAGGCATTAGCTTCCTTTGTGCAGAACATGAAGGATAGAATGGAGTATGTTATGTATTCTGTGACGGCGAAGCAGATACTGTGAGCAAAAACTCAAACCCGTAAACCAAAGTTTGAGGAATGGAAAAGAAAATAGAAACTTCAAACAAAATGTCTGCACAGCTCAAAAGAGTTAAAAGTCATCTCTAAAAAGAGTATCATACTAAAAGGTTTTAAAGTGTAAAATTGTAGTTCTCTAAAATAACAAGAAGCACTATTTACTATTATCTGCAGTGGTTCAAAGCATTGTATCTACCATCATAAGTAAGTCCACTAAAACATCAAGGAAAGGAAACATTATGCGATCATAAAACGTTGAATAAATGAAATCTTTTAGAAGAATCATGGCATGCCAAACAAGCACATACAATTACAATAAGATGATTAGTTCTCAATTGATTCCAGTGATGTCAGTTTGTTTTTTCTTGGAGCATTCCATTCAAGAAGTTTTTGAGATATATCTACCATATGTTTTAGATACCTTTCCCATGCAGTATTTCATTAACCCTGGAATTATGATTTCATTGAAAATCCTGCTGACAACCCGCTCACCAACTCTTAGGGCCTACCATGACCAGTGCATAACACAGTGCTCAGGTAGGAGTGATTGAGGCACCTGGAAAATATACATACACATGGCTACATGACCATTTACTTCATACTTCAAATTGGCAAGGGTGCATAAACATAACAGAGGTAGAAAAAAATACACTTTTGTTCAGTTGCTCGTAATTAATTGATAGCTGTACAGTGACTGAAAATTACTGTAGAGATGGTGGTAAAAAGGGAAAATTGTAATAAAATTCACCATTTTTATAAATATAACAAAAGAAATTAAAGTACTTTTGTTACAAAAAAGGAAGATGGAAAATAGTTTATTTCTTAATGTAGTGTTCCTATGTTACCCATAACATTTACTGACATACAAATTGTGCATCGTAGACTACATACAGAGGAATTTGTGTATGTGGCATACAAAGTAACAGGTGCAGGAATAATTAACATTAACACTAACAATAATAATCCTAACATAAAACCATTAACTTAAATTGTTACACAGTTCATAAATTACAAAGATCACAGGTACACTGTCTACCTTCTAATGATATTGGCCAACAACTTTTTTTTAGCCTTTTCTTCAAAATTAGCTATCTTCCACATATAAATGGATCTTTGGAACAAAGTCTGTTTTTTTATTATTTATTTGAAATATGTAATAATGTAAAGCAGTGTTGGGAATATCAGATCAGTGGATGGCAACCTCGATATATCTCTATAGACTACAAGCTTCATGATGGAATAAATAGTGGTAATGGGATGGAAATATCCTTAAGTCAATATCATACAATCTTATGGTGAGGTTATACATAAAGCAAATGACTGAGGCTTAAGGCTTTTGATTACACATCATGACAATAGCCTTATGCTGGAATTGGCATGCACACATACACGAGAGACAGTTGTAATCTGAGGACGTGTCTACCCTCACGGAACATTGCTTTCAACACTGATCATGCATGCAGCAAATATACACAATTGTATCATATATATACTAGAGTAGCATTCATATGCGGCAGACAGATGCTGAAGACAGCCGGATGAGCTGGCGGAATCATCTATTAATTAGCACTGAGTCGCTGAAATAAAGCTTCATATTCATACTGGTTTTCTGAACGACAAACCAAACTGGTATAACAAAATTCAGCAAAGACATGTACTTGCTCTGGTTATCTAAACATTTACATTCAAAGTAACATTCTGGCAATGATACAGTTTTTCTGAGTGTATCAAGGCCTGTGTTATACATGTATTAGCACACTACAAAGAGCAATTGGTTAATTACACAGCCAATTAGTCATTCATGTCCTGCAACATCCTTAACAAAGACCAGTTATTTCAATGACAAGTACAGGTGGCAAAGTAACATAAAATTATGCAATTATTGACGTTTTTCGAAATACATCTTGCCACTCCCTGTATTTTGACAGGGATTTTCTCCCTTGCACAAAACTAAGGTGAGTTATCTCCCTTTTGCTAGGAGTTATCTCCCTTCATCTACAGACTACAAGGCAATACAAACAGCTTCATCTTCCCACGCATAGCTTTCATCAGTTTGTTCCTTGTCGGAAATGTGCATTCTGGGTTACTTCTGGGTGGAATTTCACTGGCTCCCATCGGTTGTACTCTGAGAGGTGACGCTGTCACTGCGTCGTGAGGAACTGTCATCATTCATCCCATGTTTTGTTCTGGCTTTAGCCGTCTCTTTGAAGTTCAGTTTCTGCGTCTCAATCTGCAGGTGATAATGTAATAATTAAGAAACTTGAGCATTTCAGAGTCTAACGTCCATCATCAATACGTCAAGGGCCTGTACTTTCCTGGGCAGTACATTCCTCCATCACTCATGAATACATAATACATATGGCCTCTACTCAGTGTAGTAGTGACGCATGTCTACTTTTATTCAGGTTATGAAATGAGGCAGTGAAAAGCTCGTGGAAGTAAAATAAACCCTAGTCCATGAATCATAGGCGGATCCAGAGTGGTGTCAAAGGCATTTTGATAACTTGGACCCCTCCCTTTTACAAATGATGGATCCCCTTGCATGATTACACTTTGTGCAAACCCTAGTGTTTCCTGATATTGCAATGTGTAGAGTAGATGCCATCAAGGCTTTGGCACATGTAGCATGAGAAATATTGCCAATATTTAATCTGGTTTCCCTCTCAATGAAAGCAGCCCGTGGCATTATTTGTTGACAGCGACTATGTATTTACTGGTGATGGAGGAAATCATGTATATAAACCATGAACAGGGCAATGCTGAGTTGATTTGAGTGAGTGAGTGAGTTGGTATTTTAACAGTATTCCAGTTATATCACGGCGTGTCAGCTTAATATGGGAGGAAAGCCCGAAGTGATGCAGGTCTCAGACCTTTTCCACTTCGGTGAAACCTACAAGCACGGGTATGGTGCTGACAAACCTAGAAACATATTCGGGACGAACCGGGATTCGAACGCAAGTGTGCCTAAGGGACGCAACTCTGCACAGCGAATCGCAGCACCTTAGACGACTGGGCCACCCGTGTCCCCCCGAGTTGATTTGAAGAATTGAATCTAAAATCTTCAATCAGCAAGCCCAATGACATTGGATGCAGGCTATTTAACACTCAGTCTTCAATCGCATCTGTCTACATTAATATTTGAATGAATGGTGAAACTTTATGACAATAAATGAGTCGACCCAGTGATTGCTTGCATGGGCTGAACAGTCACCCAATCCATATAAGCCTAACAGTTGCCCAATCCACATGAGCTGAACAGTCACCCGATCAATATGAGCTGAACAGTCACCCAATCTACATGATCTGAACAGTCACCCAATCCACATTGGCTGAACAGTCCCCCAAACCACGAGCTAAACAGTCACCCAATCCACATGTTCTGAAAAGTCACCCAATTCACATGATCTGAACAGTCACCCAATCCACATGATCTGAACAGTCAACCAATCCACATGAGCTGAACAGTCACCCAATCCACACAAGCTTAATAGTCACCCAATCCACATGAGCTGAACAGTACCCAATCCACACAAGCTGAACAGTCACCCAATCAACACAAGATGAACAGTCACCCAATCCACATGATCTGAACAGTCACCCAATCCACACAAGATGAACATTCACCCAATCAACACAAGATGAACAGTCACCCAATCCACATGAGCTGAACAGTCACCAAAACCACACAAGATGAACAGTCACCCAATCCACAAAAGCTGAACAGTCACCCAATCCACATTAGCTGAACAGTCAACCAATCCACACAAGCTGAACAGTCACCCAATCCACATTAGCTGAACAGTCAACCAATCCACACAAGCTGAACAGTCACCCAATCCACACAGGCTGAAAAGTCACCCAATCCACACAAGCTGAACAGTCACCCAATCCACACAAGCTGACCAGTCACCCAATCCACATGAGCTGAACAGTCACCCAATCCACATGAGTTGAACAGTCACCCAATCCATATAAGCCTAACAGTTGCCCAATCCACATGAGCTGAACAGTCACCAATCCACATGAGCTGAAAAGTCAACCAATCCACATGAGCTGAACAGTCACCCAATCCACATGAGCTGAACAGTCAACCAATCTACATGAGCAGAACACTCACTCAATCCACATGAGCTGAACAGTCACTCAATCTACATGATCTGAAAAGTCACCCAATCAACATGATCTGAACAGTCACCCAATCCACATCAGCTACACAGTCAACCAATCCACATGAGATGAACAGTCAACCAATCCACATGAGCTGAACAGTCACCAATCCACATGAGCTGAACAGTGTGTGCTTGTGTGTGTCAGTGCTATAACACCCTTTGTCAATTAGAAAACCAACATAAGCCCTCAACGTTAGTTCTGTCTACAGGCACAATTTGAGTCAAATGTGTGAGGCTGATTCTTTAGATCTTGTTGTTGCATTATTGCTGTAATGCATTAACAAACTTGCTTGTGCACCTATCAGTATTGTGCTGACACCTCAACTCATGTCTGGATCAAACTGCATTTCAACCACATACTGAGTCGCACTGACAGCAGCAGAGATAACCAAACTTGGTAGAACAGAAAAGAGTCAACTCCACCATGACTGTAGGCCATGACATGACTTGTTTGTACTGAGGTACTATTGTACAGTCAGTGTTCATTCAACACTACTGCAGCACATGTATGAAAGAGCCTTGCACCAGTGTAAAGAGAAGTCACTGTATGACGTCTGGGAGGGCCTAGGTTAATAGTCCAGGTGCAGGCAGGTAATAGGACAGTGTTGTTCTTTTATCAATATTGACTTTGATGTTATTCAAGAGAGTAATACAATGGCCTGACTTGCCATGGAGTTTACTATTATTTCTAAGCCTGTGAAGACACTATGAAACTTCATAAAGTTCATATTAATAAGACCAGTGTTTTAGGAGTTCGCCTTGTGTAGCATCAGGTACCCGACAGCTGACTTAACTGTAATTAACCTATGCATGGAGTTCAGTTGCAACAAGGTGGAAACAGGTAAACACCACTTCATATGTTTATTGATGTCAGCACTTCAGGTGTGTCTGTCAACGATAGAAATCAGTGTAATGTGCAACCATACTCTTGGACTGTAATGATCGATAAACCCCATGTGATATACCCTGGTAGACACCCTGATGCTATATATGATACATACACCCTGTTACTATATGATATATATATGCACCCTGTTGGTGTTATTAACAGTATCTTTGTTTTATAGCTAAAATGGATAGAATTATTATTAAACCACCTGCATGTTATCAAAAATCAGTGGGCAACTGTAAAATGATAATGCCCTCATATTGCTTGACGATGGGCCATTATCATGCCCATTGTTAGGTGATGTCATAGGGTAGGGATAGGTGACGTCACGTTCAATAGTGACGTCATCTGGTTTGTTCTATGACATTTCCATATTTGTAAAAGTGGGTCAGTGACATTCGTGTTGATTGCAGTAAATGTTTCAAAAACGATATTGTTGTTTCTTTTTATTTGATAACAAATTCCATCCATTTTAGCTATAATAACAGTGATGCTCTTTTTCAGGGCATTGTCATTTGCAAAAGCCCTCGGTCTTTTCAACTGGCCTCCTTCGTCGGGCAGTTAATGGAAGACCTCGAGCTTCTGCAAATGATAATGCCCTGAAAAATAACATTACCCTTATATTATCCGTCAGTAGTGATGTTGGAGGAAAGTGAACAGTGACAAAGTTGTCCATGTTTACAGTTACACTGAATGACTACATGGTGCAGAGAAGTTAAGGATGACAACCGGACAGAATCAGGGATTCGTATCCTTGCAGGGACTGCTACAGAATATGAAAGATGAGAAAGTAGAGTAAAACTATGCATTCATTTATTGACAAATGAACATTAGCATAAGCACTTATCATTATAAAAAAAGCACACACAAAGAGTTTGAAACAGTTGCTATGACATTATTTACTATTCCTTTTTTTCGCTATTTCTCACACAAGTCAAGAGCTTTCAATGTCTGGTGCATACATTCTGCAGAGAGCAGTGGTCTCTAAGATAGTCACAGGCATAGAGTAAATGACAGTGATGTGAATGGCGAGGGGATGACATTGACCTGAAAAAGAGCTGAGCACTTCCTTTCTTGTGAACACCTGGTGTCACTGATTTTCTGTGATGCATTCAAATAATTTTTACCACTATTTTGCCTATTATTTAAAATATTTTTTTATTTAATTTTTTAAATTGAAAAAAATAATTATTTTGCCTTTTATGCCCAATGAAATATGTTTTGTCCTATAATCAAGGCTGGTTATTCACTGGCGTTGAAGTTTTATATCATCTAAGTACAAAAAATATTGGATATAACAAAAAGATCATTCTCATTCTCCATTTTTCTCTTGAAAATGTTTACATATATATTGATCTCATTTTGATATATATCTAAATTACTACCGATACATGCTGAAAGGAGGATGCTATACATGTTCCTCCAGATGGTTGCAAGAGGATGCAGATGAAGAGGGTAGTCACCTAACTGTTGCCATGGAACAATCATCGTCTACTAGAGTCACACACTGTAACAACACACTGCATCAGCCTTGTTACAGGCCCAGTCCCTATAAGGCTCACTATGCACCTCTATCGTGTGTTGTGTATGTGATCTTGGCTATATGACCATGTCCTGACCACTTGTTCTTTCACTTGCTTGATAAAGGTATCTACACTTTTACCGAAATGTCACATTGAGAAATAAAAGAATTTGAAATCCATTAGTCAACTTTTGTCTTCATTGCTACAGCTTCTAAAACGCCACTGAACGATATTTTACAATAGATTAGGCAAAAGCAGAAACAATACCAAGGATAGAAGCTAAAGTTACCTTAATTCAAACACTGAATAGTTCTGTTTTTAATTTTCTTTTACACTTTCTTTGAGAAAATAATAATAACATCATTAAAAGTAAGCTATTTGAAAACCAGTTGTCTCATTTACTATAGGGGTGGGTCAAAGGGTAGCGTCACCAAGATTATGACAGTTTCTAGGGGAGGGTCATAGAAAATAATACACATATTTGGGGTTTGGGCATGAGAAAATGGATATTACATACAAAAATGTAAACTGCTCTTGCATTTTGTCTTTTCAGGGAAGGTAAAAAAAAAATGTACAGGGATATGGGTAGTGTCATCTACAAATATGACAAGCATGAGGGGAGGGTAATTATTTTCAGTGCAGTAGTTCA